TTAGTGTGCTGACCAGCTCGTCGGCTTAGTGAAGTAATCTAAAGTCACTAATGTCATGAATGTACAAAAGACACTGTTTAAAAAGTCCTAGAATTGGTGTTCAAAAGTTTTAAAAAATATGACAGCAGTGTTGAAATATTTTATGCTGTTCTATGTTTAATATTGGTGTGTTTTTCTGTATAAGAATGAAGAAGCATTTACGAAATACTACTAGTACAAGAGCTTCATAGGAGCCCATTATTTTAGGGCTCGCTCAGAAGCACATTAGTTGATTATAGCCAATAATGGTGACATTTTTCATGGTCAAAAACTAAATTGGGAATTCAAATGGTGATTATGTTTGGCAAAGGGATCCTAATCCTTGCCAAAGGATTAGTGGATGTCTAGTTGGTCATATTACAACCACAGTGTAAGTCTGATAGATCAAGTTTTTAGCATAAACCTGCTGCTAAACACATCAAGTACGTCTCATCTGGAAATCAGCAACCTAAAGAAATGAATCTCAATGAGCAATGAATCTCTTTTATTGAGTCAGTCTAGTGAATCTTTTGTACCTTGGAAAAGAAAGACTTATACCTTAATGTCCGTAGTAGTTCAGAAATGTATAAGAATAGCTTTTTTTAGACAAACAGTCTTTGTTTCATTGTGACTGCTAACTGCTTAGCTTGCCAACACTACTTGCTAGAGGGGCTTATTTGAAAGATGGACTGTTCTGAAAAAACAAACAATAAGAGGCATGGCGCCCAATGAGAGTCTACTATAGTATTTCCAAAATTAAAACTGGCATCCATTATCAAGACTACCCATAACGTGATGTAAATGTGTCACTACAGTAACATCTCGGTGCAGTCTTGGAAAGTCTTCTTCTGTGGTCTCTGTCATTTGTACTGCAGTGCAGAGTTTCTAGCTCACTGGTAGACAGCAGAACAGGGCAACAGTGAAACTGGGTGGCACGGTAACTGCAAACCGACCTAGACATCTCTTTCCAGAAGAGCTTGAGCTGCATCTCTGAGCTCATCAGGATGGCCTGTCATGGCTGACAGCAGAAACAAGACAGCTGGCTCGTTTTTTCTAAAGGCCAAAGCGTAGCCTGTCTCACATGCCCCCCCAGTGACTCGCCCAGATATGGGAAGAAAACACTCATACGCACAGGGAGGAAAAAAAGCAAGAAAAAGAAAAAAAAAGAAGTAAGGTGCACTCAGTTACTGAAGCGAATGGAGATGGTAGAGGTCAAGATTCACAAATAGTAGTCCATGTTTGTTCGTGTTTATCCATTGTCTAAGAGTACAGGGTGTATCTACCAGTATTTTTCTTTTTCATACAGTTATGCGGACACTAAGCTTCACTTTAACGTTCTTTATAAATTAGGTTGTCCATACTTTGGTACTCAAAAAGAGGACATGGCTGGTAGGAGGTGGCACAGGGCAGAGAGTAGAAGACAAATGTCAATGTGAAAGCAAAGCCAAATCCTCAGCATTTTAGGCAGTTTTGAAATCCAAGCTGGAAGCATTTTTTAGGTCCCAAAAAGAGGACATGTCCCGGAGGTTGTATGGTCACCGTTTATTAATACTGTCCTATAAATACTGTGAAATGTTTGCTTCCTGTATTTTCCAAATTTTTGCCTAGTGCACTATATTTAACTGTAATGAAAGGTATCTCTAACTTAAGGCTTCAGCATACTTTTTGCAGAGACAAAATTTGCCTGGCTTCAGCGAACTGTGATGTAATTGCAGAGAAAACGAACAACTGCAGACGTTTCATGGAGGCTTCGTTTGCTGTGTCACGCACATGGCAGCTAGGCAAATTTCCCGGATGAAGATGCTATGAGACAAAGCCTGTGATTGGTCGGTAAAAGGCTACGTTCACATTACCAGGCTGAAGTGGCACAAATCCGATTTTTTGCCCTCATGTGACTCAGATCTGATGTCTTCAGGGCTGTGTGGACACGCAAATCTGATCTTTTCTAATCCAACCTGAGTCACTTTCATATGTGGTCCTAGATCGTATACGTATCCTATTCGTTGCCATGCAACCTTAATGTGAAGCTCAGATCGGAATTCATGTGTCCCACTGCCCATGCACCATCATTCAGCGTTACCATGGCAGCAGCACCTGTAAACGGTGGAAAAGCAGCATGTTACCTTTTTCGCCTTCGTCTAGCTCTAATAATAAACAGCTGAGACAGTTCAGAGTTAATTATCTTCGCAGTGAAGGTTCGTTCTGTTCGTTTGTTTGCTGATGATGCATGTGATTCATTCACGTGACGTTACTGAGTAGGATGTGCTCATGCGGGTCATTTCAGGATGCTGGTTCGTTCACATTAATGACAGATTTGAATCACTTACCTAAACAAGTGTGAACAATCGTGTCAGAGAGATCAGATTTGAGCAAAAAACCAGATTTAAGAGGAGTGCCATGAAACAAAGATTGACGACTTTGAGGAGTTTCGTTTCGCAAGAAGTATGCTAAGTGCTTTGGCAGACACACCAGTATTTCACTGAGAAACAAGCATTTGTTAAATAAACAATGAATACCTCCTAAATGTAAGATGTTAAGTGTAGTAAGCACCAAAACATATAGGTTATCTTACATTTAGGTTCACAAAAGGATGAGGCTGACGTTGGCTTCGTATTTGCCAGCTTCTTATTTGAGTTTTCCCATTTCACCTTAAATGGTGGCAGCATCGCCATAGTTAGAACTGTGATAGAATCGTTTTCCACCAGTCAACTTCTGATAAATTGTCATAACGTCACCTGTTGGCGTGGAGCAGGCAACACGAAACTGTGAAAAATATGCGAGCTTGTAAGCTCACGAAGGAGCTTTCGGTTTCGCGCAACCCTCGAGAATTTAATTTCTCAAGAAGTATGCTGAGGCCCTCAACCATACCTGATTGTTTATACTCGTCTGTATTCCTATTTATTTGATGATCTCTTGGTAAATGTCATTTATTACATGAGAGAGTAATGCAAACGATTACTTTTGGACTTAACAGCATCTTCTAACAGCTGCAGGTACAGCATCGTCCCACTCATTTCCCCAGACCAAACTAATTAGCAAGACCTCTAACTGGATTGGTTCATTTTCTTTGTGCTAATGTTCCATCTTATGATCAGCCAATAACAGCATGGAGGAACACTAATTACACCTCCATTAGATGTTGTCCCTCAGATTGTCCTTTGTCTTTTCATCCTCACCACACCAAGTTAAAAAAAATAAAAAAAAATAAAACAGTTCCAAACCAGCTGTCACCACCGCCTCATTTTCATACAACGATCAGTAGAGTCTCCAGCAGCGGGAGGAGTGCCGAACTAAAATTATCCATTCCAAAAATACGGTTGACCGAAAGCGTGACATATCCATATCCATATCCATATGCATGAGAGCTGCACTATTTCATTTTGACAGCGGCGGCTGGTGCGCAGCCAGGATGAGGGCTGGTGTCTGGCTGATGTCAGTACGACAGCGGGACGTTGGTCAGATGGAGCTCCATAAGAGCTTTATGGGGTGCTAAGTGATGTGCAATCTGAATGCAGTGAGGAGAAGAGAAGATCTAGATTGTGGGGGTCTGGTAGGGTCTAGAGAGTCTGGATTACAACCAAAAAAGGAAAAAATATATATATATTACCGGTACATTTTCTGTAAAATTAACAGATGATTCTGTGACTTATTTAATAAAAAAAATGTGTTAAATTACAGTACATATTCTGTGTATATACAGGACAATTCATTTACTTCATATAGGAAACAGTCCACAATTTTACAGTTTGTTATATTAAAAAAATCATTTACTTTCCTTCAACTCAAAAGCTCGTTGGTCTAAGTTTTCAAACGTCATTAAGTGACCACCTGTTTGTTGGAGTGAAAACCTACAGCCACACTGGCTCTCTGCGGCTAAGATTGGACACCCTTGCCCTGTATCCTCCACTAGAACCTGACCAATAATGGCTGGTATCAGCCATTATTGACAACCTGCAGATTTGGTGATATCAACAAAGATATTTCCGATAATATGCCAATAATCAGTGACTTTATTTTGGACGTGGCATCGGCAGGATTCAAACGTGATATTCTGACAATAGAGCAAAAGTTTGCCTACTATGAAGCCAGTTAGCAACTGCTAAGGTAGAAGGCACCATCTGTTTACTTTTATCACAGCAAGGCAAGCTGTACTGGTAAATACAAACACAAAACACCATCATGGTGAACAAAAGAAAAACATGTTAAATGCATCAGGTCCTATGCTTGAGCATGGGGATGAAAATAAGACAATAAGAGGTAATTAAGAGAAACTAAAAGCTCAAAGAATCCTGGGTAAACTTGTCCAAAGTGATGTATAAAAAACAGAATACATGAGGTAAAACCTCCATCAGAAAAAATTCTCTCAACAGAATTTATGACTGAGTTGCACTCTATGGTGATTCAGTTTGCTTTGTTGTTTGGATGTTCATACACTGTGCTCACAATAGTTAGCACAGTGTATGAACATATGTGTTCTTATAATGGAAATATATGTATGGGGTGGTAAAACGTGCCACTTATGAGGGTTCGATCTAGGAAGGTTGCTGGTTTGATCCCCTGAGCCGACAGTATGTGACTGAAGTGCCCTTGAGCAAGACACCTAACGCCCAACTGCTCCCTGGGCGCTGCGGATAGGGCTGCCCACTGCTCTGGGCAAGTGTGCTCACTGCCCCCTAGTGTTCATTAGTGTGTATGTGGTGTTTCACTGCATGGATGGGTCAAATGCAGAGGTGAAATTTCCCTGTTGTGGGACTAATAAGGGTCACTTAACTTTTCTGCCATGTTATTGTACTTTACATCCATAGGCTAATGATAAGTTGCATTCCCAAGGCATTTAATTGGTTTACATATAACCCAAACCCACATATATACTCATATAAACTCACATATAACCCAAAATGTCTTATGAGTATCCTCAGACATTCCAAGTGCTAACAAACTGCACCACATTCACTTGTACACAATAGATCAAGCGCACAGACCTGGTGGATGAAGACCTGGGCTCCACGAGGACTCAGCAGCAAAATGGCTCGTCTCAGTGTATCCCTGTAGCGGTTCAGCTCCTCTGTGCGCATGCTGGTGAACAGGCTGGAGAAAACGCCGCTGATGTTTCTATCTACCCTCTGTAGAGACACGTCGAGACCTTGTCTGGATGTCTGGTCCAAAAAGCCCTGCAGTCCACGGATATCTGTCGGTTGAAAAGCACAATGGTTAGACCAGGTTGGGTAAAGTTACACTCAGGTCAACTATAAAAACAACAGTAGATAAACAGTTAATGGACTGTAGTAATAGAATATTGCTGTTTCATCGTGAAATTTACACAAAATGTAAAAGCAACAGGCATTTTCAAATCATGTCAAAAACTGAAAAACACACAAGAAACCTACAGCCTCATATCTCTCTTTCTACACTTGCTTGACTCCAGAACATACAGGAGCTTATCTCACTTTCTTCAGAGGCACCTTGAAGACCCATCATAATGTAAGACCTGAGCTACTTCAAGCACAATGACTCCCTGGTGCAGTTCAGGTAATTACAGGCAGTGTGTGCTCCACTCTGGGCAGCGAACCACCTGCCAGGACTGTCTGCCAGGGAAGGGAAGAAAGCACAGGGACTGTGGGTAAATTTGCACCATCTCTCTTGTGTTCTTGAAAGCCTGTTACTCACTAGTGTCACATGTGGAGAGGTCCCTGTCGCAGGTTTTAATGACTCTCATCTACAGCCTGCTTGATTTTACATGTATGAATGATAATTTGTGTGGACGAGCCAAAGTGCCGCATTACTTCCTGACTGTGTACTCTGGCCTTCCCAACAAGCCGCGACTTCAAACACAACAGCGGAAGCTTCTAGTGAGGGAGGAGTTCTTTCAGACACCTGCAGAATATGGGGAATTATAATTAGGAGGGAAATATAGGTGGTTGAGACTGCACTCTAAGAGCGGTTTAAGAGTTCTTCAATTGCTCCTTCCTGGGCACTGTTCCTGTCTATTAGCCCAGACAGACACCTTGTAAAAAACCTGCTCCTGCCTGCCGAATCCACCTGTTTTTTTTTGTTTTTTTTTAAACCTTCCTTACTGCTTAGTGTCACTCCTCTGTCTTTGGAGAGTTGGAGTGGAAAAAAAGCAAGAAAGGAAGTAAGTCTTCACACAGAATGAATGGAGTGTCCCTATAAAAGTCAGCATTTTAAAACGTGGCGAGACGTTTGTGAGAACTGGAAACCAATTACCAAGCATACAATAAGACTTGTGCAGCGTAGCATACATCACTTAAAATGTCTGGATTTGCTTTCATGTTTGCATTCACCTTCTATGGTCTGCCCTGTGCTGCTACTCGGCCCCCTGCCCCATGACCCTAGTGTTTGTCTTTTTTGAAAACCAATAAATGGTCACTCTTGATTTCCCAGTATAAAAGTGATGATATTTACACATTGCCAAGGAAACGAATTCTGGCTTGACAAGTGCCCTAAATTTGGCCTACATTTTTAACACAAACACTCTCAGAGCTGAAATGACAAAGGCGTTATGTTATCACACTGAATTCAGTGTTAAGATGCCACTCAAAGCTTTGAATAGTACCAGATGACTCACTCAATAATGTCATTCCGCTGGTGCTATTGCACTATATGACCAATAACATGGCAACCATGAATCTACTTTGTGTAGTGCTTAAATTTTTGCTTTTTAGGCACAAGACTGCAGTTTGCATGGTTTACATCTCTAAAATACTATTTGAACTCACTGAATCCAAGATGCAGATTATGCAAAACTATGCTAGCATCTTTGTTGGCCCACTGCTCTCTCCTTCAAAAAGAACAAGCTGGTGTCTGAAACTTTGGGCAGGCTCAAAGATGCGAGTTATGCTTCGCCCCGCTGTGTTTCTCCTGGTTGTGCCAGCGGCAGTAAAGCGAGTGGTCCTGGTGGGCTAGTATGAGGCTTTCAGGCTTCAGCAACAGCTGCTCAGGCCCCACTGAAATTTAACTGTGGCGCTTAGGGGAGAGATCATAACAAGAGATAATCAAAGAGGAACGGAGGAGCAAATCCCATCAAACAAGCCCAATCTCTAGCCAGATATCCTGCCAGGAGTGGAAGAAGGGATTAGTGGAAGAAAAAGTGAAACGGTGATGCCTTGCCTGATGCACTTGGCTTCTGTTCTGGGCTTTCCATCCCTTTCTTTCTTTCTCTCTCACCTTCCTCTTTGTTCCTGGTGTTGTATCTATGTTTTCTTTTTTTTTTCTTATGTCTCTCCATCTCTTGCTATTCTCAAGGCACCGTGAGTCATAATGACCACAGTCACTCATTCGCTTTCTCTCTCTCTCTCTTTCTTTCCGTTCCTCTGCCACTTCCACTCTCTTTCTGTCCTCAGAAAGAGAGTGAGAGAGGGAGGATGATATAGAGATTGACGGGGCAAATATGGGTTGGTGTGCGATTCTGGTTGACAGAACGTCAGATGTGAAGCAAAACAGCAGAGCGAGGAACCCAGGTGAGGTACACACGATGCATACTGATCCCCTGGCCGGTGCATTTCCTTAACACTCAATCCCAGAAGCTCATGAATTAAGATGGCTCCTGTTTGACATGTGACAAGCATGCACGGCTCTTGCTCCCGGACATTTGTGCTGCCTCCAAATGAATATCAGCTAGTGCTGTTGTCGAGATCACTGGAACTGAGACTATGTCAAGACCAAGACTAGAACAAATAGAGTATGACTCAAGACCAGTACAGTTCCAGTCAAGAACAAGACTTCAGAATACACCGTAAATTTATTTTTAGAAGAAGACATATTGACAGTAATGTATTACTCTCATCAACCATATTTCCTTTTTTGAATATTATAAATATCCACATGCATATTAGGAGTTGAAAAGTAGCAGTTTTAATTTTTTTTAATTAAATATCAAAAATCCCAGGAAAAGAATCAACTGTATCACCAATAGGCTCCTCTAAAAACACATGCTATAAGTTGAACTACATACTTAAGGACTTAAGTGCTTCAGTTTGAGCTGTAAAGTATTAAACTCAGTGTTGGAAAGTGAATATATACCCCCATTAGCTTGGCACTAACCTAACACTGCAAAACCCCTAAAGACTGAATCCCATAGTTAGTTGAAATTATCATTATTGTAGTGGTAATCAGATAGTTATTAAGAAAAATGACACTTATGAAGTGAAAGTTTCTACTTTACAATTGGCTATACAGTGACATACACGATACGCCCAAAAGTTTGTAGACACCTGCTCATCCATTGTTTTTTTTGTTTTTTTTTTCTGAAATGAAGGGTACTAATAGGGTCTTGCTTTACTGCGGTAACAGCCTCTACTGTCCTAGCGTTATACTTTTATTTTTGAACATTGCTGTGAGGACTTGCTGAGGTCAGGTGCTGATGTTGGTTGATTAGTTCTGGACAACAAATGCAACTCCAGCTCATTCCAGAGGTATTGGACGGAGGCTCATTACTCCATAGAATGCAGTTCCACTACTTCACAGCCTGATGCTGGGGGCTCAGACTCGTGTGTGGCTGCTCCAGAACATTCTGTTGGTCAGTGCTTTATTATTGAGATTATAAAAGCCATGTACAATTGAGCAGCTATATCAGCAATTAGTGCACCTTATATTAGTTGAGTTAATTCATTAAAAGGAATATCAAAATACTTTTGGACATATAAAAGTCCTCCACGAACTCACTTGAATATCTCATGTTTTATTTGTTGTTGATACAGGTTATGCTAAGTAAGCTCTCATGCTGCCTGTACTGTAAATGTCTCTCCAGAATTCAATACAGGATGCTGTATAAAACTGTAAAAGAAATTAAAGTATCAAACTGGCTTGAATACAGTTTGTTATTGCAGAAATGCTAGAAATGATTGACAATAGTGGGTTTTCCATTCACCATTTTGTGAATTGAGAGTGTGCAAAAAAAGGATGTGAAAGCCCAAAGTTCATAAAAGCAATCAGATATTAGAAAAAAGTTTTTATGCTGAGATTAAGTGGAAAAGTTAGAATATTGCTAAAGCTAAAACATGGAAAAAAGTGATAGAAAAGGGTTTTTTTTTTCAAATAAACAATGATGTATCAAGCTGTTAGAAAGAAACAATTGGCCCTACAGATGGTCCAATCATGGTGCTTTCGATATTCTGAAATGACTAATCCAAAGCTCTGCACAATGTGCTCCCAGAATTGTGGTTCCTTTGCATTCCCAGATGCAAGGTGGATGTTGTCGGGGTGGCACAGAGATTTCAGCCCTCATTAGGTGGGTCATTACTTGTTTTGCCAAGTGTCTCTGAGCTGCAAACAATCATAAAAAGATGGCAAATGGCTGTAAAAATAATTCTATTTAAAGCAAAAACCGAGTTAAATCTCTCCATCTTGCTCATTTCAATGCAGCCCCTAATCAATGCAGCCTATGTCATGTAAAGTTCCTTCGCTTAATTGTCATAAATAGAAACACTTTTTTTCTGCTGAAATTTTGTAAATGCCCATAACAGTTGTAAAACGTTTGAATGAAAACCTGGCGAATGTGGTCTAGTCCAATCAGTACAGAGACCAGAAGTCAAGACCAAGACCAAATTAATGAATTATATTTTTATCAGGTAATTAATTTATACTTGATTTAAAATATAGGCGACTAACCTGGGTTAATTTCAGTTCTACAATATGACTTATGGAGGCGAATGATGATAAGGTAAAAGATATTTCCTTTCTTTTATTAATTTTTGTTTGTATATAATCAAACATTTTTATTTATTGACTGCTGAATGAGGAAAGTAGTGTTTTCCCTCTTATTAGCCACTTTATGTGTGAGTTTAATTTTTAGAGATTTAGATGTTGATATTTGATGTGTGTTGATGTACTATTACAGAGGCAAATTTTCAACACAATGTTTTTATGCCAACGCAATATTAAAAAGGCTGTAGTTATGGGCTTCCAAGTGGCGCAACCATCTAAGCGTTGTCTCCTAATAGGAGATTGCAAGTTCGAACCCTGGTGATGCTACAGCCATCCGTGGCCAGGAGTCCAAGAGAACACAGTTGGCCTTGCTCTCTGGGTGGGTAGGATGGCCCCCCTTCTTCCTCCATCACCCAATGCAATGCTAGTCAGCGCAGGCTTTCCAATGACATTGTGTTAGCAGCAGTTTGAAAATTGTAGCAGCTGGCTTCACAGGTCTTGGAGGAAGCCTGTGCTAGCCTTCGC